GGTACACCAGCGTAAAATAGCAGCTTAATACTGCCATGTTTCGTATGGTGGGTGTAGATATCCGGAGACTCTTTTTTATTGGAAACAAGGCATTCCATCTTAGTCCTTAGGTGTGACAACGCATCTGCGTTTTGATTTTAAATCGAGGATAAATGTAGAAGTCTACGGGCTACAGCATCTACTTACCATCAGGTGGACTTTGTGCTCGTTGGTCACCCTTATTCTATAAAAAATCCCCTCATATTTGACATACATAGATGCCACCGCACCGATTGACATCTGCAATTTTTATTATTTCGTGTTGTTATTAGGAAACTGATGTTACCCATCTCCTGTTATAGTTTCTCTCTGTCGCTTTTTGTGACAGACACCGTCGAGATGTAATGAGTAATGAGGTGCTAGATTCTGCAACGCCACCATTACACGGCGAATTTACACGTACCGGTTACTCACTCTTCTTAAATACCCTAACGTTTCTGACAATCGTGATATATTATGTGGTACAGCCGTGCTGCAGCTATATTAGCACGTGTGGGTTTGCTCGACAGGACCACGCCCTCACAGAATGTTAACGTAAAATAGCAGCTCAATGCTGTTATGTTTTGTATGGTGAGTGTAGAGAACTGGAGAATCTTTTTACTGGAAACGAGACATTCCATCTTAGTCCTCACGAGTGACAACGCATCTGCATTTTGATTTGTAATTATGGGTAGAAGTAGATGTCTATGGGTCAAAGCAACCACTTACCATCAGGTGGACTGTGTGCTCCTTTGACGCCGTTATCCTATTAAAAAAGGTTATTTTCCCATGGATGTATCCTATGAAATTTCAGAGATGAACACGAAGCTTAAATATAGTATTTTAAAGTCCGTCGAATCGTTTAGGATTCAGTAAATATATAATACATTGGATAAAATAACTGATAAAATGATCAGGTTTCTGTGGAGATTAGAAATACGTTGTCAACACGGATTATAAAACAATAAGTTTTAATTAAAAGTAGCCGACTATAAAGAACCAAAAACAATAAAGTAATTTCACATTTTGAAGTCGATGCAAGTTGTAGAGTATAAAATAATTAAATCCCCGAGTTCAGAGTGTGAAAGTATGGTATTCTTTTCGGTTTTTTAAGTTGGCTTTTAGTTTCTATTATTTTTTCTTTTTGGAGTGGACAAAAGAATATCGCAATATGAATTTCGTCTGAATTAGAAACTTTATCCCCTCTTTCGCCACTTTTAGGGGTGGAATTACTTCTCCAAATTATGGGACCACCACTTAAGTATGTATAACCTGTTTAATAAAAAGAATCTACAAAATCGGTTTACAGTTGACGAAGATATCGCCTAAGCAAATATACAAAACAAAACGAAGTAGAATTGTAAACTGCTTCCTTAGTAATTTTCTAAAATAGGAACACCTAATATAGCAGCTAAAATCACCCGTTAGGTTATTGCCATATAGTTGAGATGTATGTCCAGCGGTTGGCTGATGCGGGGACGTCATAGAGAATTTAATTGGTATAACAATAAGAGATGCACGGGGTCGGTCTATTTAAACCAGTCTGCTGTCTATCCCGCACATGCGTTAGACTTCATTAAATTTATTACAAGAATTTAGTAATGATCTTGGCAACATATTTGGCTTCATATTCGGTATTTATAGATATACTGGATGCCATGCGAGTAGTTTTCGGTCTTTAGAAATCTCACATCATTTTTTTTCAATCATGTCGATGGTTTATTTAATTAAATTTCGATTAGTAAAACACATTTATATTAATTTGATAAATTATACAATGAAATAAGTATAAAACTTGTATAATATAGACGGAAGCCCTTCGCAGGTAGGACCAAACAGCCCTAGGTTAAGAGGAAAGGTTATGAAAGTATATATGTATATTATTACTAAATACATTACAAAGCAACTTAAGTTCTTTTTTCTAAAAATACAAGTTAAAGTGTTCACCGGTTTCTTAGACGTACGATGTTTTATAATTTGTCCAAAGTATTACGTACGCTTGTAAGTGATCGTTCACATAGCATACCAACATCCCGGATGTAGGAACATGTAATCCCAGGTTAGCGCAGACTCAGAAAATCTAAGTGGGAGCGACTAGATTGATAAATTAGACAGGGCAACGACTAAATGGGTGTCGACTCTTCAAAGTTGACTTCACAAGATTATATTTGTATTACCTATACCTATATTGAATTAAAATATCATATAATATTAGTAACATGTATAAAAGTTCTTTAACATTTTTAATTTTAAATACCATAAAATTTAATGGCTTACACATCAACATCGTAATAAAGTTTTTAAAATATTTTACGAACATTGGCGTCCTCTGCTAGGCTTCCTTGATACATTTTTTTTAAAATACAACGAAATTTTTACGACGGTCTAATGTGTTTCTATCTGGAGAGATGTTTGAAATTTTGATGACCATTTCAGCCGTGACTCATTACTATAAACATCATTATTATATATGACTCTTGGTGATGAAAACTCAGCACGTGGTCCCAAATCGATAGTTCGTTAGCCCAAGAGGGGGAGGGAGATAGAGTGCATGACGTCACTTGCGTCTCGCTCGCAAGGTCGCCGCCTCTGCTAGGTTATTTACTCCTAACCCTCAAATATGTCGGGAATTTGTGTAATTTCCTATTTTTCCACAATGCGCATGACCTTACAATGAGGTCACGTTACTAGGCATTGAATGCAGCTATTTCTAGCATTATCTTTTTCAAATTCATAGTAAGCTTAGATCCAGAAAAATCTATTAATAATGTTTTAAAAAATAATTTGAGTTACAATCAAAATATTTAAATATGAAAGAATTTATATAATAATTGGAAAGACGCTGATATGTCTAATAATCTACTAATTTTGGTACCGTAATATATCTGTTGCTTCCTTGTTGCAAACAAGATAATCAAAATCTTGTTTATTTTACCAAACACTCCGATTTTTACTTTTACTAAAGTGAGGCGGGCAAAGCGTTTGATAATTACCTCACTTTAGCAAATCTTGGGAATGCGACCTCACTGTTAGGTCAATTGGCTAAGGTGAACACATGTGCCTACAAACTGATGACCTAGAAAATAAGTTTAATTAAAATTTAAGAAATTTTAAAATTTGTAAAAATTCACGGATTCACGGTTTTCAAATGTATCGTGGTCGGTTGCATGGTGTTTGAAGAAAGAACATTTATATATTCCTTTATCTATTTTGTTTGATTAGGCGAGGTTTATATTTAATATTTATTATATTTATATTTATTGAAATAAAATTGTAAATAAAATTATTAATTATGATGATGTATAATTAAACGCACAACGAAATATGGTGTAATTTTCTCAATTGGTGATTAATTATTTATGATACACATATTATATATTTATGATACGTATATTTAGATAAAATTCTATGAATATTGAAGCGGAAAATGAGCGTGTAGACGTTACGCGCTTAACAACATCATTTTTCCGGGGTCATTGGACCGTTAACAAAATTTCTATAAAGGTGTTTAAACTGTAGCGTATTAACAACAATTACAACAATTGTAAAACATTTCAAAATTGAAAAAAAAATCGCTAAAATAATGCAGGCAACAAAAGCGTCGAAGAATCCACATTCAAACTAGAGTTCAACAGCATTTCACCGAAATCTACTTTGTTTGGGTCCCGGGGTCAATGAACTGCTGTGACGCCCGCGAGTCTGTGTGCGCGCGCCGCTATGTCCGTACACAATACCGCCCGACGCACACATCAATATCTCGCCTTGTACTTGATGCGGACTATGCTGGGCAATTTTTTCCATATTTATTACTTTATTAATAACTAGTTTTTAGATTTGACTTTAGATTACTGCCGTTGGTAATTGATAAAAATATGTAAGAAAACAGTTCTTGCTTAAAGTTAAATTTTGGCGAAATTGTTATCGGCCATCATGTGCCGCACCAGGCTGAGGCGAGTGAACTATCACTATGAGCTAAGTTGATTATTCGGTCCGAATGAAAAAATATATAATTTTTTCGTGAGCCCGACCGAAGATTCGTCAATGCGTCAGTCACGATCGGACCGCTCAGGCGTTAACATCTCAAGACGGCCAGTCCTCAACGCGTACCCGAGTTGTGCACAACCCATAGTACAAAAATTAACGTACAAATTTTTCCTTACAGCAGTGAGGTGATCGCATCAGTTGTTTTTCTTTACTGAAAACAGTGGCAGTGCCTTGATTAGTGCAACAGTGAACGGATTGTTTCGAATGGAACGCGGTGATAAACGTCATATAAAATTATTAAACTAGCGTTAACACATTTAATACGAAAAAACTTGGTTTCCGATAATTGAACGCTGTTCAGATTACTAAAATAGCTTTTTAAAATTCGCAAATCTCATTGGCATTAATATTTACTTCTTTTAATATTTAAATAAAATCAAGTAAATCCTTCTCTGTGCTTTGATTTTCTTTTTACAGATTGTTTATTATTTTTCGCTTTATGGAAAATATTATACGGGAACAAGTGAAACAAAACAATAACTATTTTAAAAAAACAGTGCCTTATGTAGAATTATTTAAGAAGAAAAGGAGATAATAAAATAAAACCACGGAGACAAAATGCCAAGAAACTTGTTGCTCTTCAAAAAGTTAATTCCTGAAATAAATTTCGCAAAAAGAAATCTTACATCACCGCTCGGTCTCAATATATATATCAGTTAAAACACTGGTGCTTAAAATTCGACATAGTTGACTAAACAGTCCGGAGTGCCATAAAGTTTTTTCGAAGAAAAATTCTTATGGTGTGAAGATAAAATAACGTTGCCTTAAACACGACAAAGTCGATGTAAAGTTTTTTTTTATTAAAAAAAAAACAATAAACCAAGCAGTGATAATAGTAATAGCAATGCGAATACAATTCGCACCATCACAAAATCTTTGGTCAAAAATAACTTAAAAAGAAGAAAAAAATTTCGAGTAGGAACACATATTTTGGAATAATGAATAACAACCAGTTCCACGAGCTATTCGGGTCGCAATGGCCGCCCGATCAGCATGGTGGCCACTCGTCGGCTTCGACAATGTTGCACCAGCAGTCCCAGCTTCCTCAAGGAGTGCAACTGAAACGGGAGCCGCACACTGACGTCCAGGTGATGCATAACCAGATGGGGATGGACATCACATCTGGATCAGTTGCGGATAGCACCTCTCCCCCACCAGGCAACAGCGACGGAATGTTTGGATCCTCCATATCTGGCATGTTTATGGACAAGAAGGCCGCTAACTCTATTAGAGGTAACTTTTTATTTGAACTTTGATTTTCTCTTGTCAGACTATTGACAAACGTTAACATTATGTTAAGCAAATATACTCTGTGGTTATTACACAAATTTATCCTGTGGTTTAAATTACATTAGGTATAACGAAGAAACGAAAATAAAATAGAGAATCAAACGTAGCGTAGGTGCTCCACTTGCGAAATTTTTGAATTTAAGATAACAACGAGCAACGCCTAAGCATCTTTACCCTTTCTATTATCATGTTATCATGTATGAATAAATATTATTATATAATGAGAAAACCAGCGTAAAATAGCAGCTTAATGCTGCTGTGTTTGTTTATGGTGAGTGTAGAGAACCGGAGACCCGTTTTACTAGGATGGAGGCGTTCCATCTTAGTCCTCAGGGGTGACAACGCATCTACATTTTGATTCTTAATCGAATGTAGATATCTATGGGCCACAGCATCCACTTAACATCAGGTGGACTGTGTGCTCGTTTTTCACCCTTATACTATAAAAAAAATATCATCGCCGCATTTACTCAAGCTCAGTTTTAATAGACGAATGTCAATTCTTTGCTAGAAAGAAAAGATATGCTATCAAAGGGAATTTGCTATGCTGCAGCTATATTATGGTTGTGGCACAAATGGGTCGTCTCGAACGAGGAAGGACCATGCTCTCATAGAATACCAGCGTAAAGTAGCAGCTTAATGCTGATGTGTTTCGTATGGTGAGTGTAGAGAACTGGAGACCCTTTTTACTGGAAACGAGTTGTTCTATCGTAGTCCACAGGGGTGACAACGTAAACGTTTTTAATCGATTAAACAACATCCATATACTATCATGTGGATTGTGTGATCGTTCGTCAACCCCATTCAATAATATATACACTTGACTGTACATCATACATGACACATTGAAATTTACGTGTTTCATAGGTTCAAATAGCGGCATCAGCTACGTTTGCCTTTGCCTGCTGCCATTATTTATGATATACGTCACTTCGTTTACTACAAATCTAAAGTTCCTTCTATCTTCGCCTGTTTGTTATAATTTTCTAAGTCATTTATCGAATGACAAATTTAATTGAATTGCTAGGTGCCGCTTTACTTTCCACAATATATAGTGAACAAGATATATTTATTAATTATTAAAATAATATAATCAGTTCTTATTGAATCACGAGCTAATGGTTCACCTGAAGTTGCAGCCCATAGATGGAGACCTGTAGCGAACTTAAAACGAGGAAGAACCACAATGCGTTGGTACCCCTGAAGAACAAATTGAAATGTGTAGTAAAAATAAAATGTAAATGTAAAAATGTATATTCGTACGGTGAGTGTAGAGAACCGGAAACCCTTTTTACCGGCATTCCATCTTAGTCCCCAGGGGTGACAACTCATCTGTATTTTGATTCCTAATAAATGTAGATGTCTATGAGCCACAGCATCCACTTACCACCAGGTGGACTGTGTGCTCGTTTGTCACCCTTACTCTATAAAAAAATGTTTCATAGATTGTGAGTTTACTGACTCACCTATCATTTAAACCATCAATTGTAGGTGCACTGTTGCTAGGCGGTAAGTAAGTAGTGTAGTGTAGGTGTGGGCAAGTAGGTAATAGAATTGGAATCCCGGACTAACCCCTATTAGTAGTTATATTTATACTGTGCCCACTCTATACAGGCAACTAGTCTTACCAACAATTAGCTACAGTTACGCTGTACCCATATGTTAATTTAGGGGTATGTCGATTCTTCAAAGCAATAGTTATATTACTTAATCTAATTTTCAGGACTTTATTCTTTACTAAATTTACAAATAAAGTGTTCTGTTATCATGAATTTATTAAAAGTAGATGAATAAGTAATTGTGCACTCAAAGCGTGTTTACAATCACAGATTTACATAGAACAAGTCTTCAAACGGTTATTGAAAGTTTAGATTGCGTAGTATTTAAAAAGAGAACAATTAACTTTTTAATTCTTCGTATTATACCTATGGCATTGCTAACGGTATGCTTTCTGTTTTTAAAATTGAAGAATAGAGTACAAAATTTTGCAATATTTGACAGTTTCAGACAAAACTACGATTTTATTTTGCGTCACTTGTCCCAAAAACATAACATCGTTATTTACAATTAGTTTGCACTATCTGCAACGCTCCCAATTGCATTTGAATGTTTGTGCCCCACAAAATAAATTTCCACTAATAGTTTGTTTTTTTCTTTGTTTGGAATTTGTGTTAATTGTCCATAAAATTTGGGTTAGCATAACATACGTCACAGCTATTTGCAATCTTCTAACGTTATTCTAATTTATACTTAGTTTCATGTAGGAAAATGAAAATACAAGTTTAGACAAATTGAAATTTTCATTTTTAAAAGATTAGCATCTCAACTAGACATTGTTTCGTCACAAAACCTACGTTAATAGTTGTGGATAAAGTTCGATTTTAATTATATAACTCGCCATAACACTACATTTTGGAACTGAGGAATGTTGCACGTGCTTTCGGTCGGGGTTAACGCACTTGACACACTTTGCACTTTGACTTGTTACTTAATTGTTTTACCGGAGTTTTGTTCGAGTTCGTTTTCATCGTCCTTATTAACTGTGCATGCAAATAAGTGTTATTCATAATTATTACGTTTAATTTTAATTTTAAATCAAAATGGCATGACGACCTGTTAAAAGATGCAGGAAGTCGAGAGATGCAGGAAGTCGATTGATGTTCAGTATAGGACTTGTGCAGGGATTTAATGATGAAGAAGGTGATGTGAGAATTCCCAATTCATTAAAGTTATGATTTTTTTCTATTCTAAAAAATCTTTAAAAAATTAAGCGGAAAATATTCAGTTAAAACAACAACAATTATAGTTACGTTGAATAACTCGAAGATTTAGTGGGTAAAAATATATACCACATTACTGACAGTGTTTAAAGCGAAGATGAGTTATTGAGCTGAGAAGAACTAAGCTAGAATTGAGCTGAACTTTATACGTGGTGGAGCCACGCTGCAGCTATATAACAGTTGTAGCACGAATTGGTCCACGCTCTTACAGAATACCATCGTAAATATCAGTTTAATGCTTCGTTCGGCTGTGTCTCGTACAGTGAATATAGAGAACTGGAGACCCTAATTACTGGAAACGAGGCATTCCATCTTAAATTTAAGGACAGCACTCCTGAGCTGCCACAGCTTCTTATTGTGTCTGCCATCAACCAGAAAGTACGCCTCTCACAGCATTAGTCCTGAAAAAAAAACTACAATTTTGTTTGACATTTTGTATTTTCTGTGTCCTACCTAACCTGTAGCCTAGGCTCGTGTACGGATGAACATTTTAGCGTGGCTTATTCTTTAAAATGAGAGTAAATTGGTTAATTCGTCAGTTCAAGGTTGATATGGTTGTTAATTTAATGACACGTTGACATTAGTGAGTCACTTAGAGGGTCGCTTGTTGTGTTATCTTTAATCCGAGATGCAACTAAGAGACGTATTTAAAATCGAAATAATTTTTGTAATTTTTTCTCATCTATACAATTTTTACAAAATTATCACTCGCGATTATGAATATTAAAAAAGTGGGATTTTTTCAGTTTATTTTTAACGTTGTTATTAAACATATCACACGAGTAACTGAATTCTGGAAAAATAAAAGATGGGAAATACTTAACAATAGCCGGTAAAAATTCAAAAACCGAACGCACTACGCCCACTAAAGGGTCGTCGACCAGTGACGTCACTGCGACGTCACGAGTAGCTGTCACTTTTATTTTAGGGCACGTCCTAAATTAACTGACGTATGACGTTTAGCTAACTAGGTGTAACAGTTTTCGATTATGCGCGTGAAAGTAGTTTAAGAGAAATTCATTTTTTATTTGTACATTATGATATAATTAGTTTTAAGACCTTATTGATTGAAACGAACACTCGGCTAAATATATATTATATACCAAACTTTTTTTGCCACTAAATAATAAAACATGATAAACATTACAAAAATATCGTATCATAAAATATTATTATTATTATATATTGTATTAATAGCTGTTCCTCGCGACTTCGTCCGCGTGCAATTTATTACCATTGGATTTCATGGATTTAAATTTTTTTTGCAAGGAACACAAGTTCTTTTTTAAAAATTTTAAAAATTGTTTTTTGTTATAATTACCGTATATACTTTCATATGCGTTTAGTAAAAAATCTATTACTTTGACATTACAAGCAGACACTTTAATTTTATAGTCTCTGAGAGATGATATTTTTGTCCTGCAATGAACAGCACACTGGACTAAACTACAGGAACTGTATCCGCAATAGCACGATGCCGCTGGTGACAAGGGGGCTGGTTCATTTGTCGTCTAAAAAGTTATACCATTTAGCGAAGAAACTCAGCGATCTTGACACTATACCGTGAGAAATTTAACATTTTACTGCGACCATTAAATAAAAACATATTTGTTGGACTTATGGAAACTTACAACCGTTATCAAACTTTTCAAATATTTTTGTTGTTGAATCCGATTTCATTGTTATTTTTTCGATTGAAAGGCAGTTTATTTTTATTTTTAAGCAATTATATTATATTGTAAAGTATGTACAAATTATTATTTTGTATTACGCGACACGAAAGTAGTCAATAAACTTTACACTTAATAAGGTAAATAATTGTATGTGAACATATGATTGCGTGGAAAGGGTTGTTGTCCTGCTGATACGATAAAAACTCATTCTATTTTTAAATTTTCCTGTCCAGACAATTAAAAGCATTAGTATGGACGCTTGTATATTTCCTTGGTTATGTATTAAAATTTAAGTTTAAATTGAAACATATTTGCTAAGATAAAAAAGGATATCTAGAAATCATAATGTAAATTTGACTTTTACCATTAACTTCCAATTGGAAAGTTATTGTATTTCTGACTTAATTTCAAGAATTTCGGCAAATACGATCTCAATCATCAATCTTAAAATTCAATATATTTCCTCCTCGTTTGTGGTCTACAGTCTGAT